TGACAATGACAGCTGTCCAGTCCTTCGGATGATACAAAAAATCAAGGTCCAGTGTATACATTAGAATAGAATGCATGTAAAAGATCCCTTGGCAGTTGGAATTCGAGATAAGAGTAGGCCATAGTGCCGCTGTCCGGGCAAAATTTCCCACATAGCACACTGTATGGCGTATGCCCGTCTTCATTAGCCCAGTTCGGAGCAAAACAGTAGCACGTTAAACCCTATTTCTCTGAAATCGTACAAGTTAGACACCATTTTGTGGTATCTCTATGATCGCATGGGTTCATTCTATTTGTTGATGGATTACTAATCAGGAGATACAGGAATTGATCCAGGTGTTGGCTGAACTGGATCCATAATCAGGTCCCGGGTCTGATCCAGGTGTTGGCCGAACTGGATCCATAATCAGGTCCCGGGTCTGATCCAGGTGTTGGCCGAACTGGATCCATAATCAGGTCCCGGGTCTGATCCAGGTGTTGGTCGAACTGGATCCATAATCAGGTCCCGGGTCTGATCCAGGTGTTGGTCGAACTGGATCCATAATCAGGTCCCGGGTCTGATCCAGGTGTTGGCCGTACTGGATCCACAATCAGGTCCGGGACTGATCCAGGTGTTGGCCGAACTGGATCCATAATCAGGAGGTCCTTGGTCACATCCAGGTGTTGACCAAGAAAGTTCCACAGAGAATTATATTGAGTTAGAGAGTTAGACCACTTGGCCACCCACTCCATGACAAATCAAACACGTTCCTCATCAATTGTCATGTACGATGATTTGTATGTTTTATTTGACCTACATGTAGGCTACCTGCTCATAGAGAGAGAGAGAGAGAGAGAGAGTTTAACGTCCACTCCTCACAAACGAGGTCATTTTGAGACTAACATATGGTTCAATTTCGTTTCAATAATTCGCTGGCACGTAGGACTGAGAGGAAACCATACAACCGGGGAAACACATGGTTAAATTTTATTTCAATAATTCAATTGCGCGTAGGTGTCTGTAGCAGTGACGCTACTCCTTGAGAGAGAGAGATGGGGTTTAACGTCCACTCGACAAAAACTAGGTCATTTCGACTAGGTCATATGGTTTAATTTTATTTCAATAATTCGCTTGTGCTTAAGGTCTTTAGCTGTGGGAGGAAACCGGAGGACAAAGAGAAAACCAATGAGGTTGGACAGGCGACCCTACTCCTTGTCATGTACAACCGGGCAAACGAAACCACGCCAGTTGACTCAATGACAGGCTTCATGATACAGCGTGCAAGTGCTAACCATTCAGCCATCCAACCGCCCTTTAATTCTACAAACACAATATTTACAACAACAACATCTGTAGAATCCATTAACCTACCCACCTAATTTATATTTACAAATGTACATGTAATCCTTGAAAAATGTGTTGTAATAAAGACAACAAGAAAAGATTGCACCTTGAAACACAGATGTTTTTCTTAAATAAAATATTTTCAGGGTTTTTTTCTGGCCTAATTCATATATTTGTATACCTGTTCTGGGATATATACTGTAACTGTACCATCTGTAATGTATGGTTTGTTCTGTCTTCCAATTACTGTGCAGTTGTCCTGCATTGTGTATTGGAGACTAACACAGTTAATACTGTGTTCACATGTTTTAGGGAGGTGAATTTTGCCCAGAAAACTGCATTTAATTTCAGATATTTCGCATCAAATTCCAGATGCCACTGTTCTGTTGTGCTCGACAATGGGTGCAATTGATCTTGGTATGTTTATGCCTTCTGCTCAACATGGCTAATGAAGACGGGCATACACCATACAGTGTGCTATGAGGGAAATTTTGACCGGACAGTGGCAATACGGCCTACTCTTATATCAAATTTCATATGCTAAGGGTTCTTTTACATGCACACCAAAGTATATACAGGACCTCGGTTTTTCTTCCCATCCGAATGACTCGACAGCTGTCGTTGTCAGGCACTCCGTCCCGCACCACTGACAAGGGGAGGGGGGGGAATTGCGTCGGAAAATCCTAATGAACTTTCTCGGCCAATGCTGGGAGCGTTATTATAACTGAACTAAAATAGTAAGCCTTGTTCATGAACTGGCTCAATTATCCAGTTTTCTTCTGGCTTCCATTTCAACTATGTTTCTTAGTAGACTGGTTTACAGAGACTACATGGAATGTCAAACATAATTGCTTATTGATGAAAAACAATAACATGCCGTCCTCGCCTTACAGCTCGTTTTACAAAAAACAATAACATTCTGTCCTTGTCTTACAAAAATATCAGGTCTAGAGTAACTTGTAACTATGTCAATTGACACACACCGATATCATAGTCTACCTGTCACTAATATTATAGTCTACCTGTCTCTAATATCATAGTCTACCTGTCTCTAATATCATAGTCTACCTGTCACTAATATTAAAATCACTGATCATCATTTGTACTTTTAGGATACACATACCTTTAGGATATCATACTTTTAGGATACCATACTTTTAGAATATTGTACTTTTTTTTAGCATACCATACTTTTAGGATACCATATTTTTAGGATACCATACTTTTAGAATATTGTACTTTTTTTTAGCATATCATATTTTTAGGATACCATATTTTTAGGATACCATACTTTTAGAATATTGTACTTTTAGAATATCATACTTTTAGGATACCATACTTTTAGAATATCATACTTTTAGAATATCACACTTTTAGGATACATGTACTGTTTTAGGATATATGTACTGTTTTAGGATAAATGTATGTTACTTTTTGGATATATATGTACTTTTTAGATAAATGTAATTGTAAAGTTATAGGATACATATACTTATAGGATACATTTACTTATACGATACATGTACTTTTATGAGAGAGAGAGAGAAATGGAGTTTAACGTCCACTCGACACAGACTAGATCATTTCGGGACTAACATATGGTTTAATTTTATTTCAATAATTCGCTTGCGCGTAGGGGTCTTTAGCAGTGGGAGGAAACCGGAGGACCCGGAGAAAACCCATGAGGTTGGACAGGCAACCCTACTCCTTGTCACGTACAACCAGGGATTCGAAACCACGCCAGTTGACTCAATGACAGGCCTTATGATACAGCGCGCTCGTGCTAACCATTCGGCCATCCAACCCCCCTACTTTTATTTTACATTTTTTCACTAAAATCTTTTGATGGGCCTCTCTTTAATCCTTGATTTTTCTTACTGTTGATATTTTTTTTTTCTTAATTAAATCTTAAATAATCAATTTGAGTACATTTTGGCCGTGGATAAAACGCAAAATTTTTGCGAAAACTCCAAATGGCACATAGTACATGTATATATTTTATCAATCTGTTTTACGGAAGTATTAGGAAAATCTTCTAATATCTCTGTAAAAGATGACTGCTTTCAACATGTGACATCATATCACCCGGCGTCAATCATTGGCTCAATGGCACATGTCTTGTTTGCATAAGACATTACTGGTTCGGGCAGAATGATGCCTTTTACTCATTTTACACACCCATTTACACTAAATAGGAAATATTTTTACCTACATATCCTTGAAACACCTTTATTTATTTTTCTAATGCTTAAAAAAACAAACGTTCTAGAATTTTAGTTAATATTAGGGACCCATCATAAGCTGCATTGATGTCATCCCTACCAGTGATTGTAGCAGCCTAGAGAATATTTACTGCTGATCAGTGTGATACTTTATACATACAATAAATATAGGCCCTACCTGTCACCAATATTTACAGATGTAAACATGTATGTATCTATGTCTACTACCACTAACTTATAAATCTCAAATCTGGTTTTTAATCGGTGTAAGGTCAGTAGGCCTTAAAGGGACAATAACACTCTTGCTGGCTTGACAGCTCCAGAAAATAAATAATAGCCTTATTTTAAGTATTAGATGTTTAAGTGTCCTACCTGTTGTGTAAATTATCCATTACATTGAAAATATTTTTAAATCCAAGTTACATTTGAAAAGGTTTACATTAGGCTTTTCAAATCATTTAGTTGAATTTTTCCAATTTTTTAAATTAGGTGTTTTAAGATGAAATTTGTATCATCAATTAATTGGAATATTGTAAAATAGTACAATTTGTTGACCAGAATAAAGATTGGGACATATTATTCAGTTACAACAAGAGTGGTATTGAGCCTTTAAGGTCAGGGTCATCTGAGGTTATATCTATGTATATTTACATATCTAAAACTCTACTCTAACAATAAGTACAGGAGTAGTGCACTACACACAATACAAAACCTGATAAGAAATGAAATGAAATGGGGTTTAACGTCCTACTGTTCTGCTCCTAACCTGGGCTAATGAAGACAGGCATATGCCATACAGTGTGCTATGAGGGACATTTTGCCCGGACAGCGGCACTACGGCCTACATGTACTCTTATATCGAAATCCAACTATCAATGGATCTTTTATGTGCATGCCGTACACGGGACCACCCCTCCTCTTCTGTTTCTGGTATTCGTTGTCTTGTTGGATAGGTTTTTCCTAGTTTATTACAAATGGTGCCTGAAATCATAGAATATACGACCTGTGTAGGCCTACTGATTATAAAATGTTCAATGTCAATGTGTCTTAAATATTGGATATGATATATTACATCACCGGCTCCGATATTTTTACCACAAGAGAATGGTTAGCACGTGCCTGCTGTATCATAAAGCCTGTAATTGAGTCAACTGGCATGGTTTTGAATCCCTGGTTGTACGTGACAAGGAGTAGGGTCGCCTGTCCAACCTCGTGGTTTTTCTCCGGGTCCTCCGGTTTCCTCCCACTGTTAAAGACCCCTACGCGCAAGCGAATTATGTAAATAAAATTAAACCATATGTTAGTCCCGAAATGACCTAGTTTGTGTCGAGTGGACGTTAAACCCCATCTCTCTCTCTAACTGGCGATCGTCTGTAGCAGCCAAACTGCACTACAATTAAAAATAGATCTATTAATACCACAGTATTATCAATTATGACGTAATCATAGGCCTACCTTATTGGCAGCTTGGTCGATGGCACTCTGGAAATAAAACGATGTCACCGAACGAGATCTTTCACGATCAGGACAGTCTTGCTGTTTAGAATAAATATTATCAGAAAACTGTCTACTGGCCACTGCTGTGGTGAAAAGCAACCCAGTCCTTTGTTCATGGGTTATAATACGGAAGCTACGAACAGCTGATAGGAAAGCCATATTGTTATTGTATTATTGGCCGGCGTAAAAACAGAAAGTATCAAACCAAGCCAAAAATAAATCGCCGGGAACACACAGAAAAATATCTATCACGATTCACTTTGCCACACTCAAGCGAAATAAAAAATACACAATGACAACATCACAATTTTGTAGAGGTCCATTTCACAAATCTTTTGTGTCTATAAACCGAATACATTCGTAGAAAACGGTCAGACGTCGCGCCCAACCCCATCGCGTTCTGGATTTTCTTGTACTCAGCTGTCAGGAATATTGACCTCGTACACTCGGTCACGTGATCATCGCTATCACGTGTAGAGAAACTGAGAGGAGTTTCACATTTTGACCTATATTTGAAAGCCGACAGCCGTGAATCGGAATTATATTTTAATTAAATCAAACAATAGGCTAAAACAGTAGGAATAATTCGATCGTCTATGTGGAGAGAAATTCCTAGATTTTGATATGGTGAATAAAGCGGACTGTCGCGGGCTTAAATTATGACACGCGACCAAAACAAAAATAACAATGTTTACATTTTGGGGCGTGACAAGTTGAACGTGCTGGTCATGACCCAGGTTAATCGAGACTAGAGAGGTCCAAAGTTCACCGACTGACTGCAGTCCTTTGTTTATTATTATTTTTATATTAAAAACAGTAGCTATGGGGTGTTTATCCTAAGACACGGCCTTTCAGTTAAATCATATCATATTGCACATGTTTTATTCTATAGAACAGTTGTTATGGAGCGGTACACAGTTGTTATGGAAGACCTCGCTCCGAAGATCCGTGTTCGTCGTTCGTCTGTTTGCGATACTGACGCGTTGGCCGAGATCGCGAGCCATTTGAATTTTCCGGCGAACAAGAGGCTGCCCTTTTGTGGTTGTCAGTGATGCAGGATGGATTCAGAGGGGGATTTGGGGGGATTTGGGGGTCTCCCCACCCACCCCCGCTCAGCTACATGATTTTTTTTGGTAAAACAACACTTTTTATGAGAAATTAAGTGTCACGGGCGTGTGCTTTATCCTTTGTCATGGGAACCGAGCGGAATCTCTCACCAGTATTCCAGCTCATACAGCACGGCAGTGCCAGTGGCTATTATTTGCCACATGTGGTGAGCAAGAATTTCAAAATAGCCTTATAATTACGACTACAGACAGACTACAATTGTTACCCGATTTTATAATGAAGCTTACAGATTATGATAACATTGATAACATCTCTGAGTAGCAAAACTTTCGGACATTTCCGGTTGGCGGTTTCCGAGATATGGGGGTTACCACACATTTCATGTGGCACGGCGACAGACGGCAATTATAACCGATATCCATGAAACTTACAGAATATGATAACATTAATAATATCTCAGAGTAGCCAAAATTTTGACCATTTCCGGTTAGCAGTTTCGGAGATATCAGGTTACCACACATTTCATGTGGCACGGCTACAGACCGCAATTGCAAACCGATTTCAATGAACGTGCAGATTATAACATTAATAATATCTCAGAGTAGGCAAAATTTCGACCACTTCTGGTTAGCGGTTTCGGAGATTAGGTTACCACACATTTCATGTGGCACGCGCTACAGAGCACAATTATCAACCGATTTCAATGAAACTTACAGAATATGATAACATTAATAATATCTAAGAGTAGCCAAAATTTCGACCACTTCCGGTTAGCGGTTTCCGAGATATCAGGTTACCACACATTTCATGTGGCACGGCTACAGACCACAATTATCAACCGATTTCAATGGAACTTACAGAATATGATAACATTAATAATATCTAAGAGTAGCCAAAATTTCGACCACTTCCGGTTAGCGGTTTCCGAGATATCAGCTTACCACACATTTCATGTGGCACGGCTACAGACCACAATTATCAACCGATTTCAATGAAACTTGCAGATTATAATTAATTTAATAATATCTCATAGTAGCCATAATTTCGGTCACTTCTGGTTAGCGGTTTCCGAGATATCAGGTTACCACACATTTCATGTGGGGCTACAGGCCACAATTATCAACCGATTTCCATGAAACTTGCAGATTTTAATTACTTTAATTATATCGCAGAGTAGGCAAAATTACTTTAATAATATCTCAGAGTAGCCAAAATTTCGATCACTTCCGATTAGCGGTTTCCGAGATATCAGGTTACCACACATTTCATGTGGCACGGCTACAGACCACAATTATCAACCGATTTCAATGACACTTACAGAATATGATAACATTAATAATATCTAAGAGTAGCCAAAATTTCGACCACTTCCGGTTAGCGGTTTCCGAGATATCAGCTTACCACACATTTCATGTGGCACGGCTACAGACCACAATTATCAACCGATTTCAATGAAACGTGCAGATTATAATTAATTTAATAATATCTCATAGTAGCCATAATTTCGGTCACTTCCGGTTAGCGGTTTCCGAGATATCAGGTTACCACACATTTCATGTGGGGCTACAGGCCACAATTATCAACCGATTTCCATAAAACTTGCAGATTTTAATTACTTTAATTATATCGCAGAGTAGGCAAAATTACTTTAATAATATCTCAGAGTAGCCAAAATTTCGATCACTTCCGATTAGCGGTTTCCGAGATATCAGGTTACCACACATTTCATGTGGCACGGCTACAGACCACAATTATCAACCGATTTCAATGAAACTTGCAGATTTTAATTACTTTAATTATATCTCAGAGTAGCCAAAATTTCGACCACTTCCGGTTAGCGGTGTCCGAGAAATCAGGTTACCACACATTTCATGTGGCACGGCTACAGACCACAATTATCAACCGATAGCCATGAAACTTACAGAATATGGACACAGCTCACCAAATATTTCGTCGCCGTCACCCACGAAACAAGGGCCAAAGTTATTTTTAGTCTCTCTCTCCCTTTCCCTTTTCCCCCTTTTGCATGGCGATTTTTGTTGACTTTTTGGTGTAGAATCCAAAAAATATGGTTTGAAAATACATTTTCTGCCAGGTTTTGGTGAATATTCATGATTTTGAGGCGGAAGGATCGATACAAGAGTTGTGAGGTTGGTTACGTTGAAATGTAGGGCCGGAAATAGCATGTTTTCTTGTCTCTACTTCCAACTTGTGTATCTCAAGTTTTTCATGGTGAACCTCATACATGCTTTTGGGTAAGAGTTTGCCACATGTTGCTCCATCTGTGGCAGAAAGCGTTCTACCCAACGAAAATTTGGAAAAAAGTTAGAGCTGGTCTAAGAGACGAGAATTAACATTAAAGTCAATGGGGAAATAATTAGTGATCTATCTCCATATGATAAGGTCTAAGACTAGTAATTATTTCCCTTTATTTCATGATGGGAATGTAATACGAGTTATAAATAGACAATTTTTCCCTTAATTTTTTTTCTCCCCTCTTCCTGCATTTTTGGAGAAAAGGGATCAAATTTGCAATATCATAACAGTTTTGGGTAATACTGATGATATTACAGCGAAGGGATAGGGGGGTGTAAAGTGTCTTTCTGCAGTGCCGAGCAATCATTGTGTCGGAAGCAATGATAGACGTCATTCGACTCATTGGTCGGAAGTGAGATTTTCACCCCAGTCAACTTTAAATCCGCGTAGCAAAAAATCTAAATGGTCAACCCACTACAAAATTATGATGAGGAGATTGCCAAATGTGGTCCCCATCGTGCCTATAAAGATTGGAAGCAACGGAATGTTGAGCAAAATGCTACAACCTGTGATGTTACACAGCCATTTAACATTGAAGTCAATGGGCAAATAATTGCTAGTTTGAGGCCTGATATTATTTTGGGATGTTGTTATTTTCTGAGCGGCTTATTTGAATGGAAAGTGTCAGAAATGGTAAGAATACTGTTTTTTTTATTGCCCAGCAGTAAGTTTTTTGACTATTTGGTATGAGTGTGATTTTAGGGTGTAAATGATCTAAAAAAAAAAAACGAAAAACTAATAATATCTGTGACTCCCCTAAACTGTTATACCGGTGCGATAGTTTGAGTTGACTCCTGGTGTGTGTTTTCTTCTGGGCACTTGCGCATGTCCGAAACTGATGTTTGCCTTAACAACGAAACTATATCTACTTCCTGCAGTGTGAGTTGGTTCCTGACCACTGGTCAGTATGCCTACAGGAAAAAATATATCATGTACTTGATTAGAGTTTTGTCATTAATAAAATACTTGTTTTAGTGATTAGCTGTTGTTTTAGTGATCAGTAGTTACACGATCAACGGATCTAAGTTGATTGGCTTGAAATTGATACTTCGTTCGTGATTTGTTGCCGTTTTTTTTTTAGTGATTAGTCGTTCTACACACGTACGATCAGTGGAAACCATACAAATTGATGATTGGCTTGAAATTATCAATTAATTCACCTCCAAAGGAAGATTAAGGCCTTTGATATTTCGTGGCTTCATTTAACACAAATATAAAAGTATGGAATTTCTTATTCCGATTTCTTTAACATAAATATAGATTTATTACACCATCCCATACGTACATTCAAACATGCATGGAGACAGCCCAAATACAAGAGAGAATGTTCGCATTGTGGACGGGTATATATACTAAATAATAATAATAAAGATCGTAAATTTGCATCCTCTCTTAGTGGTAATATTATAGTCTATAATATATTGATTTGACCGTAAGAACATCTTAGGGGAAATCCTATCACGAGGAGTCAATGCACACCGCGTCTGTAACGGTGTGAGGTGACTCCTACAACTGCGCATGCGCCAAACGGTAATCACACACCAGGGACCATCTGAAACTGCCACACCGGTATTGTGACTCACAATAGCGAAATAGCTGTGATATCTAACTTAGGAACATAAAAAATTATTCTGTGATTCCCCCAAATTGTGAACTATTGTGACACCAATTATATTAGAACATTTGATAAATCTTGGAATAGTTCATCTGAAGCTAATTGGCGGAGAACATACAAAAGCGGACACAGGTCACATGACCTATACATTCCGAAGATATGATATGATATGATATGATAAATGTTAACATTTTGTTCACAAATGATGTCAAAACATAGTTAGGTCTAAATATTAAGGCCAACTCAACTGCAGATTTGGTCTAAAGTCACGAGATGTAAACAGGGCTGACCCTAACCCTAACCTAAGACCCAGTCCTTACCCTAACCCTAACCTACAATCTTGTCAACAAGCATGTAGCTTAGGCCTAAACCAAGACCTAGTCCCGACCCTAGCCCTCACCCACAATTGTGTCAAAAAATCATGTGCCCTAACCCTATTTACATGTGACCTTGAACCAAGTCTGCAGTTGGCCTTAATATTTAGACCTAACATGTTTTGACATCATACAATGAAATGTTAACATGCACACTCCAAATGTGTGACTTTTGACCAAACCTGCAGTATTTAGACCGAACCCCAAAACATGGTGTCTACCTTTGAGATTGGCTTAGACTTATGTGACACTCAAGGTTTACTTATTAACTGACTGTTAACTGGTTTCTTGTTGGGGGGGGGGGGGCACTGAAGGGATGTTCGCTAGAAATAAAGAGGCATATTATTTCTATTTCCAGTTGAAACCGCGAGGAGGTCTCCCTTCTTATTCAACCACATTTTTTTTATTATTATTATTTTCTTACATTTTTTTTTATTGCATATTTATTTCCATCTTTCTATCATTTCAGGTGTCACTGTGCAAGAGTGGAATGATTGACCTCAACACAAGTATTAAAGGCAAAAGGTGGGTACAGTGGACTCTGTCACATCCAATCTCTGATCACTCCGGATTGCTGTGACATCCGACATGATTTTCATGTCCCGATTTATTTCCTTATTACTTCAGCCAAAAAATCGCTGGTAAATCCGAATTCTGTATGTTCCGGATTCCGAAATCAATCAGCCGTCCCGTCACATAATTTCCATTGAATCGACACCGTATAATCCGTACTTCAAACGGTGGGTGTGAAGCATCCAATTATCGGTGAGATTAAAACTCGATGGGTGTGAAGCCAGAAAAGATTAACAAGCAATCACCAATCAATTATCGGTGAGATTAAAACTTGCGCGCGCCGGTCTGTGTTGATTACTTTGATCGATAAAGCAGTGAACCCGAGATGTTTTAAGGGATTGGACAAGATCAACCTGCCAGTCAATTGGTCGGCCAATCGCAAAGCTTGGATAACAGGTGCCATTTACTCTGATTGGCTTGAAAAACTGGACATAGAACGACATATTATAAATGAACACGTCGTAACAGAGTGGACAATTGACTGAAGACGGGGACGATGAAGAATATTCATTAACGACAGACTTGACCTATTCAAAATGCCTACGCATGCTCAACGACATTAAACACTTCGCACATATTAAGGACGAAAAGATGATCGCAACAATTCATTTGTTAGAAGATGTGGTCTAGGACTTCGCCTTACGATATGCTTCCGGTAATCTTAAGCAAACTACTTTAAACGATTACATGCATTGATATTTATAAATATATTGTACGCATGCTTTGATATTACATACATGTAAATGATTTTATGAATATATTGTACGCGTGCATTGTTATTGTTAATTATTTAATGTAATAAAATTTTGAAAGTACATAAAGGGAATAGCATTCTGGTGATTCGAAGCTACAATATAAAAATACTTCCGGTTTTCGAGGTTACACTATTTCCGGTTTTGGAGAAAGCTCGGTATTCCGAAACGCTGTGTGATCCGAATAATTGTAACGATCCCGTACGATGTTGGATGTGACAGAGTCCACTGTATATGACAATGGCTTGCATTTGTCTGTCTTGCGTATTTACTATAGCTGTGATCCTGTAAAGTGTCATCTGCTATTGATGGCTGATCTAAATGTCCCTTTTTGTAGCCGGATTCAACTGCACAGTAATTCTTGTACTTGCGGAATTCATGAAGCTTTCGTCCACGCAGCAGAAGTGCTTATATTTGCACTTCGGGTCTGGATTGGTATTCTCTGTGGTACAGACTTTCTCTTTCTATTTGCCGCAGGGAATATCTTGTCTTTGGAGAAAGAGGGGCCCCAAGGAGTTTAGCTTTCTGCTCAGTGGCACTCTTTATTCCATCATTGCTTCTCAATATTGTTGAGGAAAGTCGGCCCATCGCATTTCTTCCGTAATTTACATTCTTTGGAAGTGAAACACTCAACGAGCGGTTGATTGCTTCACATTTCTGTGTGTTTGTTTGGAATTTGGTTTTTTCTAAAGCTGCTTCACTTATTCGGATTTTTAAAATTTCACTTGAATTGATTTGTCATTTTCATTCATTTTCAGGGAATCAACTTTATTTGAGGCCAGATACATGGAACGGTTCCACCAGTTATTTGTTATCCCACCCCGGCACACAACAGAATGAGGGCGGCACTTTGAGCAGTCGCCATCGTAACACATGATAGTGGACTCTAGGACTTTTGGTAGGCGTTTTCTCATCTCCTCAGTATTACCACAGTGATTTTCAAACAATGTAGTCATGATTAGACTGCATCTAGCTTTTACATCTTGGCTCAGTATTTTCTTGATCTTGCCCTTATCCAGTCTGGTTTTACCAGGAAACATCTCGTCACTGAATTTTGCATTATAGCAGTGCCTAAATTGCGTGGCAGCCATGTGTGAAGGGTCAGCTAGTTGCTCCACACTCCACATCGGATGCAAAATTTTAAAACTATCTTCAATTCCAGCAGCTGATCGTCAATCTCTATCTGTTGTTGCATATTTGATGAGGACGTTTTGGAGATCTAGTTCTGTGCCAATGCTTTTTGCTATGTCATACTCAGATAATGGTACATGGACTGGTAAATTTGCAGTACAGCCTTCGTGTCCCCCTGGGCAGTTGACAGTAAAATCTTTTCCCTTAAGCCAGGCACCTTGCCAGCACAGTTTATTTTGCATTACAGCACTCAGGATATATTTGTGCTTTGTGTTTGTCTCGCATGCAATTCCAATGGCTTGCGAGGCTGCTTGCCCTGGCTTTTTACTGTGGCCTATGGTTATGCTGTTGTAACGCCCATCCACTGCAACATTTATTATATTTGGGTTTACTGATCCTCCCTTCAGATTAAAAGATTTAACTGCTTCTATTTTTTCCCTCATGTTAATAGTGTTCAACCTTGTCATTTTAGCACTAACTTGGTTAGAAAGAGTCTGCATGCCACTCCGAGAGGGCGGTGGAATATCCAAATCTGTAAACAGCAGCCAAGCTCTGGTGTTTCCAACCGGCATGTCTAACAGTCCAGATTGTAGGGTCAGATTAATATCGGCTGCCTTTCTTCCTGGTTTCCCAGTTGGAATCTCTTTATACAACTTGTAGACAGGTGAGATAAATGTACATTTTGTACGCTTTACAGAGTACATCCAACCCGCTCCCCACTTCTGCTCACTAACAGGCTGGAAATTTGGTACTCCACAGGCCTTTCTTCTCCCCTGGGCATGTAACCGAATGACAGAATTCCACATTTCGACCATTTTCTGGATGTCTATAATCCTGTTTCCCTGGATAGTATTCGCCTCAGAATTCTCAGTCTCATCCAAATTTAACATTTCAGGCCTACATCTCAAAACCCGATGACTTCCCGGACTGGCTTTAGTAGAAAGATGATGCATATGAATTTCATCCCTGATCTCTGTGACACCTGTGGAAATTGAGGGCAAATCATAATCAGTTTGGGTTCCAGCCGAGGACCCCTGTAAACGTTGCTGTTTAGTGTTGACTTCATGTCCAAGCTTGAAAAAGACAGCCTTGCGTTTATTATGGCCTCTCATATTGGAAGATAACATAAATGGCTTGTATGTTGACTATTGTGCATATCTCTGGGTCAGGAAAGTTGTAGGTACCATCACCATTGTAAATCATTTGAAGAGTGAGAACTATGATTGGTCAGCCATGTATCAGATTCCATACTAGGGGGTGGGGATCATAAAACTGTTGTAGTGTTACATAATCAGATTATCTGAACTTAATTGTCCTATTATAAATACAGCTATGTAGGAGATATTTTAAAATTTATAGCCACTGCATGTTTCAACATCTTAGATTTGACCACAATTTGGCACTTAAAACTGCGTTAAGAGAGAAAAACTATGATCTTTTCGACGAAAATGTTGAAAAAATCTAATATTACATGATAATTACTGTTTTAAAGGATTTTCTTGTTTGATTTATATTGAATTTTTGTTATCTTTTTACAGAATGCATTATGTTCAAAAATAAAAATGTTCTGTTTAATTCAAAATTCATGTGTTTTTAAATTTCTGTCTGAAATTCCACAGTTTTCTGATGTATTGTAGTGTTTGCAAAATGCCGCACAGCTCATCTGAAAATGCATAGATTTTCATAATCTTTGGCCAGGGAATTGCATATTAGATAACAACAGATTTGTTTAAACTGCAGAAACATGTGAGGTATATAGGACTAAGACTAGTAATTATTTCCCTTTATTTCATGATGGACAAATGTAGTGCGAGTTATAAATAGACAATTTTTCCCTTAATTTTTTTCTCCCCTCTTCCTGCATTTTTTGGTCAAATTTTTGGTCTAGAATTGGAGAAAAGGGATCAAATTTGCAATTTCATAGCAGTTTTGGGTAATACTGATGATATTACAGCGGAGGGATAGGGGGTGTAAAGTGTCTTTCTGTGTGGTAACCGGAAGTGGTTGAAATTTTGGCTACTCTGAGATATTATTAAAGTAATTATAATCTACAAGTTTCATGGAAATCGGTTGATAATTGTGGTCTGTAGCCGTGCCACATGAAATGTGTGGTAACCTGATATCTCAGAAACCGCTAACCGGAAGTGGTCGAAATTTTGCCTACTCTGAGATATTATTAATGTTATCATATTCGGTAAGTTTCATGGATATCGATTGATAATTGTGGTCTGTAGCAAAGTTCCTAGCACCTGGATTCGAGCTTTGGTGGGAAAATATTTTGGGTCGTTTTTTGATGCAGCGTGGGCTGAACCCACAAACCCCGCCTTGAATCCAGGTGCTAGGAACTTTGCGTTGCTATAACTCGATACACCAACATAGAGAGAGAGAAATGGGGTTTAACGTCCACTCGACACAAACTAGGTCATTTCGGGACTTACATATGGTTTAATTTTATCTCAATAATTCTCTTGCAGATGGAGGACCCGAAGAAAACCCACGAGATTGGACGGCGATCCTACTCCTTGTCACGTACAACCGGGGATTCGAAACCACGCCAGTTGACTCAATGAAAGGCCGTATGATACAGCACGCACATTCTAACCATTCGGCCATCCAACCCCCCACACCAACATAGAAAGTTAATGAAATTCGGCATGTTCATACCTTGTGCATCTTTCTAATTGGTGAAATAAAGATTTTGGATCCACCAAAGCCAGTTTAGAAGTTATTGTGTGCGCGATGAGCCTACCCATACCCGATTCCCCCATAGTTTTAGTATGTTTACGGTAATATATCTCGAAACGCCAGCATAAGAGCCTTTTGAAATTTTGTATTCTAGTAGTTTATTCATCTCTTGAATCCGTGAAACAAAAAACATTTTCCCACCAAAGCTGGTTTGGGTCGTTTTTTGATGCAGCGTGGGCGTACCCGTTGTTTATTGAACCCACAAACTCCACCTCGAATCCGGGTGCTAGGAACTTTGCAGTGGTATAACTCGATACACCAACATAGAAAGTTTTAATGAAATTCGGCATGTGCATACCTTATGCATCTGTCGATTTAGTGAAGCCACCAAAGCTAGTTTAGAAGTTATTGCGTGCACAGTGAGATTACCCCAACCTGGTTCCCCCATATGTTTAGTATGTTTACGGTAATATATCTCGAAACGCCAACATAGGAGCCTTCTGGAAGTTTGTATTCTAGTAGTTTATTCATCTCTTGGTTCCGTGAAACAAAAAACATTTTCCCACAAAATCTGGTTTGGGTGCTTTTTGATGCAAAATGGACGTACCCCTTTTTTGCATGATCAGTTAGCCTAGAATGCGATATTTTAGTATGTTTACGGTAATAGTATATTTTGGGGTGTGGGGTGGGGTCGGGGGATCTATTACATATATAGGTTGCATTAATGTTTTAAAATTTTATTTTCTAATATAAAGGTAACAATTATTTTTGTGATAATTATATCTAGGTTTTTTCTTGGGGCTAGGAATATGTGGGCTAACTTGATCTCAAATACGGGTGAGAGATTCCGCTCGGTATGGTGGGATGGGATGGGCACTCAAAGCATGAGATAATGATATAGATGTATATTATGTGATGTCACAATATGTTTTGCATCAACTTTTGTTATGAATTAATACAATGACATTGGGATTCAATTTCACTAATGCAAGGCAGTAATTATGATATCCCATAAACCTTGATTTACCAAATGTTTACACTATTTGCGTAAGAGGGGCAGCCATTTTGTCCGGCAGTTTTGGCCCGATATTCATGAAATTCGAATTCAACAAATATTACGGTGTAACGGTAATACTATGGTGTTCTATTTTGGCCACTTCCCGCGTCGTGCGTCGCCCTTTTCAGTGTTGAGCTATAGAGAAAACAATGCGACACGGCTTTTTAACAAGGCGCCGCCCTTTTCTAAACGGATATTGTTTACAGTTTTGGTGATGAAATACGCAGGTACCAGGAGAATTCATTTGCAGTTTATTTGCCGTTTGGTATTTTATCTTCAATACATTGATTTATGCTGGACACAAGGAACTGCCAATAATATCCTTTATAACAAGACATATCTATAATATCCAGATTATTCAGCCAATAATATCCTTATAACAAGACATTTCTATAATATCCAGATTATTCAGTTGTTATATTTTAAATTTCGGTTCTAAACTTAAAATTTTAAACTCTACTGTGAAAGAGTGACCTAGTTCTATAGTTAAACAAACAATGAAAGGGTACGCATGATAACGATGTGGGTGTGGTTTCCGTTATTTACATCAGTTCTTGTATAGGTTCTCAAGATAGAATTAATACGAGAATATTTTTATTGTGGATATCCTACAACGAATATATTAGCTACCCCAAAGAAATCCGTTCAAAGGAGCTAAATCACTAATATTTGGGACCTAGAATTTGACCCAAATGGACCTCAACGCATATAATAATGTAATCTGATTGTATATAAATTGATTTACATTCAATTGTTTCCGTTTTGACTCTAATTTCAAATCAGTTATGCCCAGCGAAACACGGCATGAGTCTCAACCGAATGCCAATTTCTAGCGTCTGGTTATTCCAGTCTATTGTGCATGCTCTCCAGATAAGATATTTCGTCACCGTTTGACATGAGGTGTGGAATATGTCTAGTCTCGTTCTTTCTGGTCACTTGTAACAAATGACGCTGAAACGCACTATGGTACACGATTCGTGTACTAATGGTAAAATGTTTATTTTGTCTTAAATATTGGATATCAGAAGCCTAGGCCTATCTTTTCCCGGTAAGATAACAACATCAATGTTGATTTGAATTGACAAATAATTGGTTTTTTCAACGTGTAAGACTTTAGATGATATTGAGTTAGAGACTTTTTTATTAGCTACTTAAATTTAAGATCGATGTTGAAAGAATCCAAGATTAGGTTCACTTCTGCACTAGTTAACCTAGTCACACAGTCTGTAATCATTGAATGAGATATGGGAACGAAACAAGCCTATGTGGCGCCCCAGGGCAAACGTTTCAGTGACGCCCCCTCCAGCCATTGCAAACTGTAACTTCTTTGTTCAGGGTCTTCGCTCAGTTGAATTTTGATGATCAAATACATTTTAAATATCATCTTTTATACTTTTAACACCTTGTCTAAATAACTATTTATTAAATTTATTAAAATTTTTATATTTATTTCAGGTCAACCCTCCCTTTGATCGAAAAACCCTATAATATATCTTGGAAAAATCATAATTCTACTCCGGGCGTATGCGCCACTCAGTACACCCCCGCCCCTTGCTAATATATTCGTCTTGTGATATAAAATAATATATTCTTGTATTAATGTCAAGGAATATTCATATTATAAGTAATACAACACTTGAGAACCTATTAATACAACTGATGTAAATAACGGAAACCTACAACGTTATCAGTATCCTGTCATCGTGTGTTTAACTATAATAGTGTATGACTGTATTTACAGAGACCACAAGGTGACTCATTCACACCAGATTTTACAATTTTAAGTTTAGAACAGAGATTTAAAATATACCGCATAATCTGGGTATTATAGAAATGTGGTTTAACGTCCACTCAACACAAACTAGGTCATTTTGGGACTAACATATGGTTTTAATTTTATTTCAATAATTCGCTTGCGCGTAGGGGTCTTTAGCAGTGGGATGGAAACCGGAGGACCCGGAGAAAAGCCACAAGGTTGGACAGGCGACCCTACTCCTTGTCACATACAACCGGGGATTCGAAACCACGCCAGTCGACTCAATGACAGACTTTATGATACAGCGCGCACATGCTAACCATTCAGCCATCCCCCCCCCCCCCCCATTATATAAAGGATATTATTGGCAGTTCCTTGTGTCCAATATGTATTGAACATAAAATACCAAACAGCAAATAAACTGCAAATGAATACGCCTGGCATAGTCCTACGGGCTAGTTGACAGTTAGGGGGGCAGAACCCGAAGTGTCCGAAAAATTTTCGGGTTACAGACGAGAGCGGAGGAGTGGAGCTTACCTTGTAGGGACTCCCCAAGAAAATTTTGGAAAATTTGACAGCCGCAAAACCGAAAAATGTCTCTCAAAATGTTTTACCCTATATTCAATTCAGTACAAATTCATGGTATTCAATTAAAAGAAAAGTAAAATTAGTGTTTTATTAGATTTCGGACACTTTATTTTGCCAACTAGATAAAATAAAAGTTTTCTTCCACTTTACCTGTCTGCCCGAAAAAATCAGATTGCCCGAAAGTTAGGGGGGGGGGGGGGGCAGTTTTGCAATTATACAATTTGCAATTATAAATATATAAATATAGCTATAATATTGAATTGTTTATTGCACTATATATACCATAATATGTTTCATGCATATAATTACTGTTGTAATAAACAATTAATCAATCACTAATTACAATACATTACAACGAATTGCAACGAAAGTATACATAATTAGTTTCTTGTTTACAAAAATCACATTAGTTATCTGTCTTGAACCTCCGATTTGGCACAAAGCAGTGAGGCTTCTTAAATGTGACTAAATTGTTACTTTGTGTTTCCACAGTCACTATTTTTGGAATTATTGTGTGTTGTTTTGGAGTTATTGGGTAACTCGACCCGCCCTACGTTATAATAATCATGATGCATATATTTGAAATGAATTCTGGTAGTCTTTCAAATAGATACAACTGCAGCGCCTCCATCTGGCCTGTGGAGATATCAAAATAGTTATTTGTTATATTATAATGTATTATACATTTAAATTAAATAGTTTTATGGGAGGGATCAGGGATTTTCGAAGTTAATTCCGGTGATTACTCACACCCCACTTAAACGACTGCGTTCTCAGTCGACCAGGATGTAGATGAAGAGAGAACAACTTAATTTATTAGTTCAGTCTATAAATTTATTGCTAACAATACAAACTTTGTGGTAAGTATTTTTTTTATTCAATTATAACACCGGGGGTTAGATGGACGAATGATTAGTACGTGCGCGCTGTATCATGAGGTCTGTCATTGAGTCAACTGGCGTGGTTTCGATTCCCCGGTTGTACGTGACAAGGAGTAGGGTCGCCTATACAACCTCTTTGGTTTTCTACGTTACCTCCAACTGCTAAAGAACCCTATACGCGCAAGCGAATTATTGAAATTGAATTGAACCATGTGTTAGTCCCGAAATGACCTAGTTTGTGTCGAGTGGATGTTAAACCCTCTCTGACTTATAACGGTGCCGGCCGTCTGCGAGAGGCAAAGGAGCGGGGCTTACAGTGTAGGACCCAACTCAAAGAAAATTTGACTGCCGGAAACGCGTTTTCCTGGCGCGAATCGTGATAGTGGGAACCCATTGGGCAAACCTCGGCTGATTCCGTTACTTTACATCTAGCGTCGGCTGTATGACGGTAAGTGATATGTACCTACGCCTATACATTTGCGATGCGTCACCGGTTTACTTATTAGGAAAACTTGCTGCGTTTAAAAGAAAAGATAAGATAAGATGTTTATTGCATCAAAACGTCCATTAAGGACAGCATGTAAACATATTCACTTAGACATAGTCATACATTTAATAAAACATATTACATAGACAACTCAATACATTCATACAAACAGTATACTACATGAACAACTGTATATCAAATAGTAAGTGCAGGAGGACCGCACTACATGCAAAACAAAATCTACAAGATAAACCTGCCAACAAGACAGAAAATAGACATTGCACCAAATAAACAGATATCAAATCAAGTGAATGGAAGGGGTTTCAGTTACATGTAGTTGCCACCATATTTGATATAGCTCTCTTATCAAAAGCCAAAAACACATATAAAGCCACTGCCTTGGCAATCAATTTTGGTGGTGTAAAGAGATTGATAAAATTGTAGGAAATCTTAGGATTTGCCGAGAAGGCTGGGTATAAATGGGCTTGGTGTATTTCTTCATACTTGCTACAGTATTGCAAAAAATGTTGCTCGTTTTCAATCAAGTTTAAATCGCAAAATTTGCATAGACGCTGATCAACAGGAATTTTTTTGTATCGGTCCCTCTCTATTTGTAAGTGATGCATACTGAGTCTAAGTGTGGTCATAGCTTTCTTATGATCTCTATCTTTAACCGAATATGAATAGTCTGGAGAGTTGGTAACAGTAGGTTTTGAGATGAAATATGTATGTAATTTGCTGTTATTGGAGTTAGGGGATATGTGGTAGAAGCTGGATTTACCATGGGGCCCAGGCTCAAGGGACCCACACAAAAATCTCAGTTGCGCGCCGCGAGCATGGTCGGACCGAGGACTCCAACGGCCGGTGACCTAGTGACGGGGC